CCTTTTACACTTCCTTCTAGGCTCTCCCTGGGCTACTAGGACTCCTTGGAAATGCATGTGACTCTTCTGTTAGGAGCTGTCAGGTCCAGCTTATCATACAGTTTTGATGTGAACACCCTTGCAATCCATACCCATTTTAGGACTATAGGCACTATATCTTCTTGGGATAAATCTGTTATCTTCCATTTCTCTGGTTATTTTGGTACAGGATGCAGAGACACCAAGAGTGTCAACCTAAGAGGAGATCCCTAGCATCCATGCATTTTTTTTCAGGCTTTCAAGGATGTAGCATGTTTTTTTTCTTGGCTAATTAATGGCTGAACTGGTACCCCCACTAACCTGCCCTGCCTTGTGCCTAGGAGCCTTATGAGCAGAAGAACAACTCCACTGGTGGCATTCAGCCAGCAGTCGGAGATGACCTGGTATTAACCTGATGGTGGCTGCGTAAGCAGATTCCTTCTTGCTGGGAAACAGCACAGGCGATTGTACTTTGGAAAACGTGGAGGGTCACTTGTAATCTTTGGGCTGTCCTGGCAGAGCCTGTGGGCCTTCTGCTCCCCTTGAGAGTGAAAGCTTCCAGAAACATTGTGAACAGGCAAAGATAGTACCTCTTTACTTTGAAAATAAACACGTGACTTTAATCTGATGTTAATGGATCTCAGTTATTGGGGTAGGATCACTGCATGCCACAACACCACGCCTTGCTTTCGATAGAAATGTAAAGATAAGGCAGGTGACTCCTGTTTTCTTCTTTTTTATCTGTCTGTGTATTTGTTTGTTTATAGTAATGGTGCTGCTAGCAATAAACAAGTAGTCTGTGAATTAACATCACCAAATTGGAGAGGAGTTTTGGCTCAGGCCCACTGAAAAGAGTTTTACACAATGTAGCATGGATGTTCCCAGAGGGCAATGCCAGAGTTCCCCGTCTAGTCCTTCTTAACTTCCCTGTACAGCAATTCACAGAATGACAATGGCAATACAGCATTTAACCTGAAGATGGGAATCTTTCCACTGTACCCAGATCATCGGGTGGGATGAGCTCTGTGCTTGGTTACTTTGTCCCCATTCATTCTTCATGGGTGGATGAAAGAGACATGAAACCTACCGTGGTCCCACACCATCAACCCAGAGCTAGAAAGCAGGTGTTTCCACGCATGCGCAGATGGGATACCTCAAGTAAAATGACAATCATCTGATAAGGCTGTGTAAGGCTCTGTATTCAAAAAAACGTTCTGAGAGAGCTTATTGTGGTGACTCTAAACATATGCAATGGAAAAATAATTCCTGTTTAAAGTTTATATTTTTCTTTACATATTCGTCATCTCATATTTAATGGAAGAGAATGACAGGACATTGTGGTTCTGAAGGGAAACAAATGGATTTCGGGATATTTGCAACAGATTCACCAGTTGACCAGAGGAGGGAGCGATGCAGCCTTTCTGGCTGGTGAGATCAGTGTTTCAGCCTAAATTGAAACGTAATAGCTATTTTGGCAACCTGCTTTTGTGCCATTAAACTTGATTAATCCAATAATAAGAACAATAGGTTATATTTTACTCTGTCTGTTGTAAATGAAGACAATCCTTATGAATTCAGCAGGGATGCATAAGTATTAATGGTAGTGAAAATGGGGCACACCCAAGCTCATAGCTAAAAATCTGATAGTGCACTGGGGATTCCTGACTCTCCCTGTGTTGGAAGCAAAGCTTAAGAAACGAATTTGTATGCAGTATGAGCTTTATGTATTGTGGGTTGTAAATAGTACACCTAGAACATCAGTGAGATTTAAAACCAGGCACAAGTACAAAGCAGAAAAAACACAGCCTTTTCTTCAGCTGTGTCTTAGCTTCCAGGCAACATAAAGATATGAGCAAGTTCCATGAGCATCTATATAGCCAAGGGAGTAATCTGGTATAGCACTGAGAGAAAAGGTTTTAAAACTGCTAATCTACTCCTGTTTCTTAACGGGTGAAAAGGAAAGCTGGTGGATCAAAATTATCATGCAATCACTTCGTGTTTATGTCAGAATTCACTACTGCCTATTAACACTGCTGCTATTTGATTGTAATTGATAATAGGAAAGATAAAATTGCATTACACAAAAATGGAGGAAACACTATGACTTTGGAAAGAAGGAGCTGGCTGGGGGAGTAGGATAAAAGAAAAGGAAAAACAGAACCAGTGAAGGGGAACAGCATCAATCTTCCAAAGTGATTAAATGTTATATACTATTCTAGTATTTCCTTGGCTGTCATTTCATATATCTTTAAAGGTGCAGAAAACTGAGAATGTCAAATATTTTTGTGTACCCGCATATATTAATATCTCTGCCTATAGAAATCGAGACTATGCTAAAGCAGTTTTTCTGTTGCTAACTACTTTGGGTTGCCAGCAGTCTTTCCTGACCTACAGTCAGTGTTTTCTGTTCAGGATCAGAAAAAGTAGCAGAGAGCTTTATTCCATATCCGGTAGGTTTGTGCTTGAAGTAGGTTGGCTACAGCTGGAGTAAATCCTTCGTTTTCTTTTGAAGACATATGTCTAAGTGGCACCTATATGAAAGTATTGCAGGATCGATAAGCTTGCTGGGAAATGGCATATGCGTGGCAAAGCTCAAGAGCTAACTCATCACCCATAGAAGTTTGTCAGGGACAATCCTGGTTTGAGTCCTACTCCCAAAGCAGCCCTAACCCTGTTGGATGCTCTCTTGTGTTTCAATGCTCCAGATGCCGTGGCCTCTGTATGGGCTGTTCTGCAGCTCAAGAGCCACCTCATTTACCTCCTTAATCCATTTCATCCTGGCACTCTTGTCACCCCCAGGCATCTTGCCTTCTCCTTGGCATTTCACCCTGTCACCTGTTCCTAGACACCAGAGCCTGTGGCTAGCACAGGGGCACTTAGCACAGCTGCCCCCAGGCCACTTTAACCACTTACTAACTGTATGACCCTGACCCTGGCCAAATCTTTGATGTAGCCCACACACTAGCAGAACCAACAGTATGTTGATCTGCTGAAATGCTGTTATGAAATAGTATGAAACTGTGACATAGCTCTGACAATGGCTCAGTCCTGTGAACTGTGTTAATTCAAGTTAAACTGCTATTTTTTTTTTTTTTTTTTAGCAAGGCATCACTCCAAAGAAAACAATTTGGCTTGTTCTTTTTTATGGTGACAGTTTCATCTTAAATGATAAAGGGCAAGAGTATATTTTTAGATGCACTCTCCTCCCTTGTAAGTGTGCTTAAGGACTGTTTGGACTGATCACTTAATATAATTGTCTCTGGTCTGATGTCAGGGAAGGGCAGTGGGAGAACAATGGTCACAGCTGCAGGTGATAGAAGATACACTGATGTTTTTCAGAAAACCTCAACCAGGTTCAGCCTAGGAGGGCTATGATGCACACTAAGAAGTTTGTCTTACTACTTCAGTATTCAGTCTATCTCATAGTTGTTTAGACTTAATTTCAAAGTGTTTATTTGCATCATTGCTGAAATACTGCTTCCTTTCTAATCTGATAACTAATGCAATTGCTTGAGCTTAGGCAGCCTGGTTTCTCAGTAGTCCTTGGCTATGCTCTTTTCCCCATCTATGAAGCAAATGGAGAAGCAGCAGCTGTTGGCATCAATAAGGCTAATGAAATGCAGAACACATTTGCATATCCAGGTATTTCACCAATCTTCACAGCACTCAGAATGCCAAATTCAGCCAATTGCAGCTTCTGGTAAGTAACTGAGACATCCAAGAAAGTCAGTTTTCTGGTGTAAACATGGTTGCCTTTATTCACCAAGCATGAGTTGATGGTAAGTGGAGAAGAGGTGAATGTAAATTGTTGGAGTAGCAAGTCTTGCATGCACTTTAACCATGAAAGCTGGCATTAAGAAGTCAATATGGAGTCATTATTAGAGCATTGGTAGGAAAGAAAACAAGCAGTAAAAGAACTAATGAAACAGCCCTTTCCTAATCCTTTACCCAACTTAATTTATACAATCTGCAATGGTCTCAGCTTTAAGCCTGGATTAAAGCCCCAGATTCAGTGCTGGGATAAACTGAATTCCATGGGAGTTGTGCCCATTCACACAAAGATGGAGTTTATTCCTGTAGGATAATGATGTGCCTTTCTGCCGATAATTTTACCACTTGAATGCCAAGTTACAGTCCAGAGACCCTTGCTTAATATTCTTGCTTCGCTCGGTATAAAACTGGCACCTCCAAGAGCTCCTCTGCCCTGGATGGTTTGGTATATCTTTGCAAGCTTTCAAAAAAGGACTGCCTTCAGCATTTTGCTTGGATCATTTCCCAGCCATGTAGTGCTCCCTAGCAGATGGCTCCATCCATCTCCACTAAGTCAGCAGCAACTTCCTTCCATAAGTGAAGCTAGCAGAGTTGTAACCCTCCAGTGTGTATATCACAGAGACACATCCATCAGTGAGAGCCAATACAGCTGGATGGCTCTGCCTGCGTCAGTCAGAGGTGGTGAGGATCTGGCCTTAATAAATAACAGGCCAATCAGTAGCACCAATACTGAGACACAACCTATTGGAACTATTTAGCTTTGGTTTTATTTAATTTTTTTAAAAGCTTTTTGTATTCAGCCAAGCGTATTACCTCCTACGTTCTTCCCTCATTGGCCTAAATTTCATGGGCTTAGTTTGCGTGTTTGTTCTGCCTAAGCAGAGCAGCTGCGTCCTGTGCATTTTTGCCTATTCAGGGTTTTTCTTCTTTTCAATTTAACCTTTTTCTCCTTCATTTGGCAAGTCATTTCAAGGGAGCATAGATGTAAGGGTGTGTTCGCTTGTTTATTTTATGTACATGACAGAGCACTTAAATAATCACTGATCCTATAGAAGATAACTGCACCTGACATTTTATATTTCTCTGTTAGTTGGATTTCTGGAAAAACTTTCGAGAGCATTAACATGAAAATGACAGGAGCAATTACTGTGGTTCTTTTCCCTTTTAGCTCTCTGCAGTAAAAGAATATCCTGCACTTCTTTCTTTTTCAGATTGATGGCTTCCTGACGCTTCTCTTTGGCCTGGCTAGCATTAATACCCTGACAGTAATCAGTGTGACTCGCTACATCAAAGGGTGCCATCCTGAGAGAGGTAAGGAATAAAGGCAAGTCCAGTTCTGCCTTGAACCTGGTGCAAATCTGTATTTCTTTCAGTCCAGGCTATTTATTGAATATAAATTAGAGGCATTGGAAATCAGAACATAATGCAGTCATTTACATTACAAACGTGCTGGCATAGAATCCTTCAGGGCTAACCCCAGTAGAAGCCAAGATATTACTGGTACACTTTAGTCACTACGGGTTAAATTCACCCTTGAGCCAAAGACACCAGAGGTCCTGCTGCCCTTCTGTATTCTTCCAAATGCAACTTAAATGACTTCTAAGTGACGCGTACATTGTTGTCCAGATCACACTGTAAGTTTGGGATTTCATCTTCTGTGAGATGATGTCTGGGAAGTTTCCAGTTGTTAATAGACCCTTGATTCAGAATGATGCCCTACACAAAAATATTTTCACTTTTCAGGGTGTTTTGCCAGGGTTGGTGCACAGCAGGCATCATAGACTGCTTTAGATGGTGTTGGGAACACTCAGTCTGCACATCTTGCCTCCAGCTTTTATAGCACTGTGCAGCCTGCCATACCCACATGCCTCTCCAGTCTCCCCTCAGTGCACAGTTCCACACCATGGGAGATAAAAATTACTCCTACCATCCCCAGAACTGACCATGGCTCTGCTCTGCCCAGATTTTCCCTGTCTCCTGCCACCTCCCAGATCTGCAAAGCGTCATCAGCACAGCCTCTCACTCATACTTATTCCTTCTCTACTGCCCTGTTGACCTGTAACCTGAATATCTCAAACAACTGCTCTTCACTACTCTCTCCAGTGATAGGAACCTTTTACTAACCACTCTTTCTGGGTTTAGTTTAAATTTTTTTATTAACCTTCAGTATAAATGTCTCTGTAAAGGCATACAAGTGTCCCACTGTACAAATCTGGTCTGAAATCTTTTACACGTCTTCTGCCCTGTGAAGCCCTCATCAGCAAGTCTATAGATGAATCACAGAATGAATCATAGAATGATTTTAGGTTAGAAGGAACCTTAAAGATCTCCTACCTGCTGAAGACTGACTCCGAGAGCCTTATGTAATCTCTCTTCTTTATACCTACACTTTCCGTAAATTCTCCCTAGTCTTCCTTTCACCCACCCTTTGATAATTTATTATCAATTTGCATGCCTTTGTTATGACTGGCTTGCACCATCTTTCAGGCAGGAACCTATTTATATCCACAGGTAAAGCATGCATAAATACACTGGATGCATCATATTTGTTTCTCCCTAACAGCATGAGTAGTATTAGCTGTTAAAAGAACTTCTGCAGGGAGGTCTTTTTTCCACAGTAAGTGCTTCTGCAGCTTGTTGTAATGACAGACTTGATGAAGTTAATTTTCAACACAAACTGCTGTTGGACCTGCTAGGATTTGGCTGTGATGTATACTACACGTTACATTCATTGCATATTATGAAGTCATATTTAAAACTTACATTTCTCTTTTGCAAACCTGTAGCACATGTTCATTTAAGGGTGTGGATAATTTATGTTTATCTCCTGAGGAAATCTGAACAAGTACCCAGTATAACTTTAAAGGAGTCTTGAGGAACAAAGATTGGTGGATGCATACATATTTTCCTTGTAAACAAAGAATAATATCAATGTATGCCAACAGCAAGACAGATGAAATCATTTGTTTTGAATGGCTAATGTAGTTTGACCATATCATGTATTTTCTCCTTTTTAACAGGGAAAACTTTGAAGTTAATAAGAAAATCCTCTGAATTTAGACTTATCTTGTTTGTTTCTGCATAAAACTTAAAACTGTTTCCTGTTTTTTACAAAATTGCAAAACATTAATTCTAACATAGGATTTGCTAATTCTACAATGCTCAACAAATACATTACCTCTTCCTTAAAAGCCATTCGTTTCCACTGTTCATGAATAGTCCTGAACACAAGCCTGAGAGATAATTTCATATTTAAGCTTTTCTTATGAATATGGGGTTTTTTGTCTTAATATTTTTTAAAATAGCTGTGTTTTCCTTATTAGCTGTTGGTATAGGAGTGTGTTTCGATTTGAGAGATATGTTTGCCTTTCTAGATATTATTTTCTGACTACATGCCATTTCAGGTCACTGCATCAGCAACAGCAGTATGACGGTGGCCCTGGTTCTCATCTGGGTAGCAGCTTTCTTCTGGTCAGCAGCTCCATTACTTGGCTGGGGCAGTTATACAGGTAACAGGTATCTTTCAGTTGTACTTATTTGACACCTCTCCACTTACCTGAACAAAGATACTTACCTTTCTTTCTTAATGTTTGTGCTGGGTTCAG